CCCCTGCCCCCCCCATGTCTTGTGTGTGTGTATCCTCCACATCAAATATCCAACTTCCACTTCAGAGTCTGCCTGGCAATGCAAATTATAAAAATTGCCATGACGAGCTTAGCCAGCTTTAATGGGGCGTATAAAACGAGCAGGACAGGGCATGGCAGGGCAGGGCAGGGCAGGGCCGGGGCATGGCAAGAAGTTCCCCGCGGGGCAGGCCCATCATTTTCGTTGCCTACTTTTGTGCGCCGCTTAGGGTGGAGGTGTGAGGCCGTGGGCCGACATTAATGGGATGCGGGCGTTGAAATGTAAACGGCGCCGTGAGTGCAATTCGAGTTTGCCAGAGTATTAAGCCCTATTAGGAGATTTTCGGGGCAGGCACTCGCAGCAAAACCTTTTAAGATTTTCACAAAGCGCAAGGCAAAAGCAAAAAGAAAAATGAAAGAAAAAAGGCAACCAAATCCCTACGTGAGCGCATTTTCAGCTCCTAATAAAAGGCATTTCTGCCACTCAAATTGGGACATGCATGCAGCATGGGCAGTGGAGTATGGAGAGTGGGAGAGACCGCCTCCACATCGATAATATGTGTACAAAATTGTGTGCTATTTTCGGTCTGCTGTGCGGCAGTCAATAAATTATGCTTCCGCTCCATTTTGCGTGCTCGCAGAAGGGGGAGTTTGGGGGAGTGGGTGGAAGTAAGCGCCCGTTATGTTGTGCTGCTTCCAGTGACCCAATTTTGTTAACGGTAATAGCACACTTCCAGCCACTCGCGCGTTCTCTTCGTGCTCGCTCTTTGGTGGCACACTGTTGCGCTCTCTGGCGCTCTTTTGCTCCCTCTGTAGCTCGCTCTTTGGTCTGGCTTGGCGCTCTCTGGCCCTGTTAAGCGCTGCAAGTGACGTTTTCATGTGGCACGGACAGGGCCAACACACACAGAGACAGAGACAGAGACAGAGACGAGCAGGGGCATGGCCAACCCCCAAGCAGCCACTATATACAGTTGACCCAATTTCGAGTTTGTCCTTCCACAGCTGTTCTGATTTCGGTTTCGATTTCGGTTCGCATTTCCTCCTCGCTTTTTTCCTTTTCCTTTTTGTGTATTTTTGGCTCTCGGCCATTTCTCTGGTGGTTTGGGGTTGTTTATGCTTCCGCCAAAAGGGAAACGACGGGGAAACTCCAAGACGAGCAGAGAGAGTAAAGGAGAAAGGGAAATAACTTTTATTTATACATCGCACGTAGTCTGCGTGGGTGTTGGGTGTGTGTGGGTGTTTAGTGCTCTTCAATTTGGGGCTGTCAAGTACATTTTCATTGAACATGAAGGCTGCAGCAGGCATGGCAACAAACGTCTGCAGATAACATCAGAATAATCAATTGCTGTGCAGGTGCAGGCTCTTCCCTGACTTTTCTCTATCCTGCCTTGTACAAATATTCGCCTAGCAATTTGCAGGAAGCTGTTCCGCCTCCCCAGTTCCAAGCAAATACAAATATACTTCCCTGACATCTGGGTTTTTGCCTGGAACTGGCGCCAGACAGCGGCGACTCTGCCAGAGGGATGAAGCCGCAAGCAAACCGGGAATGCCATTCCACCCAACGCCCACTTTCTCGGTCCGCTTCGAGTTGGAACTGCCGTAAAGAAGATTCATGTTATGCCGCCCACTCACGAGACCCGAACCCGGACATAGACACAGTCTCGGTCGCAGTTATTTTCCGTGTTCCCAGTCCCTGTCTGTCCTGCTGCGAGCCGCCAAATCAGGACATAGTGCGGTAGTCATGGACCAGGGTGGAATTTTATTTCCCTTTCTTGGAGCTGGGGGGAACGCCTGCTGCCAGCTGGAGTTTTGTGCCGCCAAGCGACCAGAATGGTTTTCATTCATTAGGAAACGAGCGCTGGCAGCCCCCTGCGTCGACCGTCCCTCATTAGAGCTAAATAATTAACACACAGACAGAGGCGGAGGTGGAGACTGGAGACTGGAGACATAACTTGAAGCTGCTTTAATTTACTTTTCGATTTGGCCAACTTGTCAGGTGGCAATAAAACACAGCTGACGGGGCAGGTATGACGGCAGAACAGAATTGATAGCACCCCCTTTCCCACTCCACCCTCCTGCCACACAAAATGATTTGAAACTTGTTCCGGGCTTTAATTGAATATAATTGAAACGCCAAGGCTAAATCGAGTTGAATTTGAATATTGCGTATACGCAGCGATTGACAAATGGTGGAAATTCAATGGCTGCGCCTGCCAGCAAAACCTGTTCGGTGGCAGTGGCAAATGAAGAGTCAGTGGCGGTGGCAACTCATTGGTGGGCAAGTCACGAAAAACCTGGAGGCAGAAGCAGCAGAAACAGCAGAAAAAAAGTACATGGCCCACACATCTGGCACAGACGGCCACAATTGTGTGACTCTTACGTGTATGTGTGGAGTCTGCTTTGCTGTTGTGTGTTTAGGCATTTATTTATGTGGCAGGATGTGCCTGGCCGCTGTGGTTGGCTGGCCGCAAAAGAATTATGTGGCTACACCCCCCCCACTAATTGCGCCAAGTTAAAACGAAAAGTGTGTGTAGAGCTCTCTCTACGCAGTTAATGTTGTGGCACACACACACACACACACATGCACACATGCTCCCACCATAGATGAGTGGCAACCACGTGCGTCTACAATTTACGCCGCTTAAGTAGCGCCAGTTATTTATGTTTATGATTACGTTGCGGTTCGCAGAACCTCCCAATGCTCTCTGCTGCTCTTGTGGCCAGGCTGCTTCCTGCTTGCTCCCTCTGTACGCTGTGGCAGGGATATGCCTGCATGTAAAACCTTCTTAAATTTTGTGTGGCATCATCGATGCATGCTCTGCAGTAAACGATCCGTGACCACAATTGTTTGTGGGCTAAAAGTTGTAAACAAATCGTTAATCATTTGGCGTGCAAGGCCAAGCTGGGGTAGCAGCGAAAAATTCAATTTTCAATTTGTACAAGGACATGCGAGCTAAACAAGGACGCAATCAGTTGTATGCAGTTCTGCCCGTGCCCCCAAAACATAAGCCAGCATAAAAGTGGGTCAACAGCGATGTCGCTGCCGCTGCCGCTGCCTCTGCTGCTCTGCTGCTCTGCTGCTATCCTAACCTTCATCATAAAGCGCAGCATAAATGCAGGCGCATAAAAAGTTAAAAGCCAAAGAGTAGGAAAAAGCGTGTCAAGGCGAGTGGCAAGTGGCCAGTGGCAAGCAGAAAGCAACCCACATGGTGACCCAGTAAATAAGCGTCCGTGGAGCGGAGGGGCGTTTTGCAATTGGGCCACTCGGGCAACGGCAAGGACGAGAACGCTGACGCGGCCCGGGACCAAGACCGGACCCGGACCCGGGCCCCTTATCAGTGCAGGCAGCAGGCAGCTGGCAGCTGGCGGCACGCTCATTCGTGCGGCATCGTTTTGCTGCTCGTGCGCCTTGCTCCTTGCAGCCATGGCAGGCAGGCAGGCAGGCAGTCAGCCAGTTGCATTGTCCGCACCCACACAGTCGCATTTGGCACCGGGCCGGCACCGGTTGATAAAAACGCTCCAGCTCGTGCTGCACTCCCTTAATACCGCCGTGTCTCCGATTCCGATTCCTTCCCTTTTGTGCAACATGAACACGCTGGCGCTCAACTATTACGTGGAGCGTAGTGAATACGAGAGCTTTGGCGGTGATGGAGAGGCCAGTGCAGAGGGAAACAGTTCCTCGCGCTCCTCCACACCGCCGACAGACAACAGCCATTCGTATATCCATCAAGTACGCTAAGTTTACAACCCGAAATTTACCCCTAATCTTTCCCTATTACCAGTCACTAATCAAAGGAGTTTTCTCTCTTTTTGTTTGCAGTCCCGGAAGTTCCGCTGTACCTATCCAAATTGTAGCTTCAAGGAGCACGATGAATCGAAAATGAAACGTCACATTAGTATCAATCATTTGAGGTAAGTAAATCAGAAATTCCATTACCATACCCCCATCAGTTTTCTCTCTCTCTGGTGTGCTGTGCTTCGAGAGTCCTTGGCAGCCAGGCACAAAAGCCCCAAGTGATGGACACACAGCAACACAAAATGAGCAGCAAGTGGATTGGGCCTTGACTTAGCCTGCACATATCAAAAGCGCTGCTCGTGGCTCTCGGCTCTTGTCACTCGGCTTGTACAGTGTTGCCTCAGCCTCAGGCGACCTTCTGTAATCGTTCCCAGAAGTGCACTTCATCGAGTTCCGTTTCACTGTGTGCCCAAGTGGGTTCGTTCGTTCGGGGCGCTCAAAAGTAGAACACTTGTACATAGCAAGCGGGTCAAATGTGGCATGTGTGTGTGCATGCTGCCTCCCCCCAGATTACTTTGCGCACTTGCAGCAGCACCAGCCAACGATGAGTGTGAGACACGAGTGTGCGGGGGCCCGTCCGCGACTGCGCTGCACTTTTTGGGGCCAAGGTCCCACAAGCCAGCAGCTCCCCCACACACACATACTGAGCTGTGACACTTGTAAATCTCGTTTCCTATATAAAGGCAAACACCCCCAAGCGCCCAAGTCCGACTCGGTGGGGGATGGGAATAAAAGTGCACAAAATAAAAGACACTTTTCGGGGGAATTTTTTGTGTTGTTGCTGCTTTTGCATTGACATTGTTGTTGTTGTTGTTTCTCTCTTCTGCATAGTAATATGCGCGACATACATATATGTATAGTATATATTTAGGTTGTATAGGTTTATGCTTAAATATTTCTGGTATTTGTATGCATTATTGTATGAGTGTGTTGGGTTGGGTTGGTGTTGTCGTTGTCGTTGTTGCTGTTTGCTGTTGGTGGTGTGATTTGTGGCTTGACTACGCTAGAAAGTACAGTACGTACACATATGAGATGCACAGAGAATGTATGTAAATGTATGTATTATGGAGTAGTTATGTATGCTGTAGACTACGTGTATATCTCTAGTTATATTTATATAGATATAATGCCAACAATTCGCTTGGCAGGCTGGCAGCGTTGTAGGATCATCTATGATGGGACTTTTGTAGCAGGGAAACTCAAAGCCAGAACATACTAACACAATTCATGTTGGTTTTTTGTAAGCATAATTGATACATTTATAATCTCTAGGCGGGAATCAGTTTTTATAAATAAAAGTATTTGTTTCTTTTTAATGCTTGACTTATCCACTAAATCCTATGAGCAAATTTCCTTATAATTTCACAAAACTAAAATATAAATCGCTCGAGGCAAACGCAGACAAAAAAGAATTGAAACTAGCTTGCAAGAGGTACACACAATTCAATTCAATACAATATAATATAATATAAGATAACACACAAATAGATACAAATACAATCAGAATATGTTACGAGTTTTGTTCAAAGCTTTCAAAGACTGCAATTAGCAATTGGCAAACTGGCATTAACTAAGAATCAATTAATTCCGAATTATTCATTCAGCTGCAGTCCCACACACGAGTTGATTAAATATCGTTATTACATTTTACATACGGTTAAAAACACTAAATACTATGGGCTAAAATTAGCTTATGCTTATTGAATATGCTGCGTGTGTTCTAAACAACTACTTTTTAGTCTGCCTTGCTTTCTTGATTGTTTCTTTTGTTTGCGGGTTTGCTGGTTTCTGGCTGGGCTTCCTATTTCTTCGCTACATCCGATCGGTTTTTAAAGTAAATGAAAAAATAAATATTTAGGCGCATAAAATAGGACAGTGGAGGAGGCGGGAGTATAAAGTTGCAACTACATTTCCAGAGTACAAAAAATATAATTTACAACTTTTCAATAAATAAACCTAACCATAAAAAAAACAGAGTTATAACAAAACAAATCTTACAGAAACAGAAGGAGTAGAACCGGTTGCAATCGGTTCAGTTAGGGCGCGAATTTATAGCAAGGAGCATTGCCAGCATGTTGCATGTTTACCGTCAAACTAGTGCGGATGCATGAGTCCGTGGGTAATGTCCATGCTGCCATCACCGATACCATTGACACCAAGAGCACCATTTAGCATGCTAGAGGCTAAACACACAAAGGGATTAGTTAGTTAAAGAACTTTCAACTTTCATAATGTGTTTGAATGCTTACAATTTCGCGAGCCCTGCGTATCGACCTGTGTCCAGTATTGTTCAGACGGGCTCTGCGTACTAGTCCCCGGCGGCGCCTGGACCGGCGCCCCCGTGTACCGAAAATACGGATTCTTAAGATCCAAAGTGTTGCTCGATGATATCAAAGTGCCCTCGATGTGCAGATCGATGGTGACATCGTACGACTGCCGCCGATTGGCCTCGAGCAGCACCCGTCCCGTCAGCGTCTGGCCCTGCTTGATGAAGATGGGCATGGGCAGCAGGCAGCGCACCTGGTACCAGTGCGTCAATGGAGCCGTCGGTGAGGTGGAGAGCCAAACGTTCTGGCTGCTGCCACTGAACTCAACGTCGAACCAGAACGCCAGCCCATGGCAGATGCCAGTTTGGAGTATTTGGAATTCCAGTGGGATATCTAAACAACAGATTTTTAGCTAAATTATAGCTAAAATTAGGCAGGAAACATACCAATAAGATGGAGATCATCCTCCTTGTCGTTGAGGAAATCGCAAACATGCCTAACAGACTTTGCCATGCAGATTCGAATGTCGAAAGTGTCCACAATCGGCTGGCGGAAGTACTCCTTCATGCCCTCCTTGTGCAGGGTGGTGAGGTCGACGCCATGGAAGGCCGACTGGTACCAGAAATTTGCCTTGTTGTACTGTTCCGAGTAGAGCGACTCGTCAGAGAAGGGCGCAATGTGGAGGTCCCCGTGTGTGGGATACATTTTGCCATTGGGCTTGAGCCACTTCCTCGCATGCAGATAGGTCTCCAGCATGCGTTCGTTGTACAGCATATAGCCCATGGGTTCCGATATGATGACATCTACTTTCTCGGGCAATTCGATCTCCTCGATCTTGCCGGGTATCACAGAGATCTTATGCTGCACGCTGTTCGATTCGACCAATTGCTGCGCATACTGAGCCATATTCGAAGCCTCAATGGCATACACCTTGGCCGCGCCAGCCTGCACGGCAAAGAACGACAAAATACCAGAGCCAGCTCCCACATCCAGTACGATTTTATCCTGCAAAGAACAATATTTATGGCGTTGATTAGCGGTTGACTCTAAGCTGATGCACGACTGTTAGTGGACTGACTTGGAAGTCGACTGCATTTCCCAGAATGGCCCTTTGGTACGTGCTCGTTCTCACATAGTCCTGCATCATGTTCTGCTGCTGGCTCAGATAGCCGTAGAACTGGAAATACTGCGATGCGGAAGACTCCTCGGTACGCTGCGAAAACACAGACTTGGGCCTTAGGTGTTTCACATTCTCCACCACCTTGCGGAAGAGCTGCTGGTCCTGGTCGCTGGCAAACCTCAGCACCAGGTTATCCGACTCCAGGGTGACTGCATAGCTACGTCGGCCCAGCTGGGCCGCGTCCGTGTCCGCCGCTATCATGTACTCCTTGAGCACATTCTCCCGGTCGGCATCTTAAATGGGAGAACACAAATGATAGTGGGACGCCCAGATGGCAGACAGGACAGCTGATAATTACCCAACACTATTCGCAGCACAATGCCCTGGGAGTCGTAGCTGCAGAGCAGCGTGCAGCTGCCCTTGTATTTGTTGGTAAATTCGAGCTTTTGCTCGTCAGCGATGGCGCTAATTACGACGCCGCTGAACTGGCAGTTGCTGAGCGGGCAGAGGGCGGCGGCGGCGGAGAACTTCTGGTGCTCCTCAGGTCGTGGAGTGGACATGCTGACGTAGACTGTAGAAGTGCTGGCGGCGCGTAGGAAAAAGGGTGATCACAATGTTTCGCGCTTGTTAATTGACAATGTAGGCCGTGCGACACGGATATACACACACACACACACACACACTCAAACTGGCGCAAGCACAGACGGGCACAGACGACGCGCAAATTTTTTTTTTCGTTCGCTCGTTGGCGGCAGCGGCGGCGACGGCGACGACTGCAAAATTTTCCACAACAAAAGTGCGATTGCTTTGTGGTTGGCTGTCGGCTGGCAGCTGGGGAAACACGCGCGTTGGCTGTCGGACAATGAGTAATGCACTTCTGGCGCGTTCTGGGCTGCGTCTGTTGCAAAATCGATCACTTTTTGTTGATTTCGTATTGATTTCCACACGGGAACGTGCGTTCTTTTTGCAAATTTTTGAACAGTGTGACCGCGGATTTGCCAATACGCGAGAATACCGCCTGACCTACAGAAATATACCGAAAATATACCGGATAAAGAACGAACTTAACCTACTAAACACACTTCTATTTAATCGGTGAACTGAAACTCCTCTTAGGATTCCTCTTGAACATATCATATGCAATAGATATATAAATTCATAAAATAAAGTTTAAACAAAAGCGGCCAAAGCATAATCCGATGACGCTATCGATAGCTAACAGCAGAACTTCGGCTCCGGAACTGGTTCACTTTCCCTGTGAATCGCAAAACAAATAACGGTCGTAATTATTTAAATGGAATTTTCTTCGGTTGATTTTGCAGCAAAGAGGAGCCCGACTCTGGGGACTATGACTCCTGCAGCGAGCACGAAGAGGATTTCTACTACACAGACGATGACGGCGATGATGAGTTGGTGAAAAAGCCTAGTCTAGCCTCGGAGCCAACGCTCAGCCACCGGGACATGGCACGTCCACCGCACGAGGATCCCGAATACCAAAAACTGATTGTCGGGAACTTCAAGTGAGTGCGAATGAGAAGAGAAGAATATTAATTGTGACAATATTACTTATTCCCCTCCCTCCCTTACAGGCAAGGACGTGCTTTGCATAATTATAACCACCAAACGCATCAGCAGCAGCTGACGACGGCACATCACAGTGGGGGCGGGCGGGGCATGCACCACATAAGCAGCATCCCGAGCAACCAGCAGCAGCAGCTGCAGAACAACAACACCAGCTGCACACCGACATCGCACCTGGCCCACCACAACTACACAAGTGGATGGCCAACCAGCAGCCCGGGGGCGAACACGACGGCCATGCCGTCCCCGGTGTCCACGCTGAACAAGCACGCTCGCACATCGTCTTCTCGTCCGTCCCACTCGGTAGCGCCATATCCATCACCGACGTTCGTCCAGCAACAGCAGCAACAGCAACATCACCGGCACAGTTCTTCTTCAAGCAACAACAGCAATCCGGTGAGCCCGGTCATCCACTGCAACAGCAGTGCCAACAATATGCTGCAGCAGCTGTCGCAACAGAACGTGACGGTGACGGCGCACGCGCACCACAGCCAGGTGCAGCTGTCCAGTGTGACCATAACGCCAAACTATCATCCGACCCAACAGCAGCAGCCCCTGCCACCGCACCAGAGCCAACAACAACCACAACACCAGGAACAGCAGCCGCCGCATCCGCACCAGCCACATGTGCGCGGCCAGCAACAATCAACTGCCAGCAACAACCTGGTTGCAACCAACAACAACAACAACAACAGCATGCCTCTGCAGCACGTTGCCGTGCAACAGTCTGTGGGCGTAGCCAAGCACACGCCCAACTCCCCGAATCGTCGCACGCGGGGCGAGAACAAGAAGTGCCGCAAGGTGTACGGCATGGAGAAGCGCGACCAGTGGTGCACTCAGTGCCGGTGGAAGAAGGCTTGCAGCCGCTTCGGCGACTGAAAGCGGCAGAAGTCGTCGACGGAGGCGGTCAACCAAGCGTCGGCGTATCTGTCCAAGGCAGCAGCAACAACATCCGCAATCACAACCACAGCCACATCCACATCTACATCCACAGCAACAAATGCAACAACAACAGCAACCACAGCAGCAGCAGCAGCAGCAAAGATGACAACAACGATCGTGAGACTGGCCGCCGAAGTGGCTGCCGGCAAGCAGCTGCCCGCCGCTCTCACGATCAAAACGAATCGGCGTTACGGAGGACAAGCACAAGCCCACCACCACCACCACCACAATCACCACCAGAATCAGAATCAGAATCCGAATCGCCACCAGAGCCATCACCATCCGTATGGAGTGACGGCCAACAGCAACACGATCTGCAACAGACCCGTGCGCATCCGCAGCGTGGCCACCTCGGTGATAGTGGCGCCCATTTCGTCAACGTCAAACCCCACCAATGCTGATGGAGTAGAACGAGGAGGAGCAGGATTAGGAGAAAGTGGATCCGAGGCCGACAGCGAGGAGCAGGTGGCTGCTGCCAATGGATTGCTGGCCTGGAGCCGGGCTGCTGCCAGTCAGCAGCAGCAGCAACAGCAGCATCCGCAGGTGCACCACCAGCACCAGCAGCCCGTGCTCATGCAGGGCTAAGGCCCCCCGATCCATTGCTGATCCCCTCTCACTCAGTTGTTGTAGATTGTTGTTGCCTGCCACGACATGCAAACAAAAAAAAAGCAAAAGCAAATGAAAAAATGGTCTCTTACATAATTTTTACTCTGCATGGAATGTGCACCTTAACACGTAACGGTATCTCTTTTGTTGTTGTGCTGGTGTTGCCAACTGCCGTGCAAATGTTGCAGACATTTGTGCCCCGGGCAACATTTGCAATCTACAATAATCTAATTATTATTATTATTATTATTATTATTATTATTATTATTACTATTGCTACGCGTAACTATACATTACATACATATATACATACAATATTTATTTCTAAAAATGACTTTGTTAATTCTTATGTTAGACACAAAACAAAACCAAGAAACACGGTAGACGGTAGACGGCAGACGATGCGATGGAACCAGAACCCGGACCCATGTGCCCGGGATCCCCAACGGGCTACAGGGGTCGGCTGTTCGATTTTTATATACAACAACAAAACACAAAAAACCATATGAATGTGTGTATGAACATTGAACATTACAACAAACAAAAAAAAAGCAAAACAAAAAACCACAAAAAAAGCGGAGGAACACAACATAAACAACAACCAAGAAAGATGGAAGGAAAGAAGGAAAGAAACAAACAAACAATATTTAAAGCAAATATACATTTGATTTTTTAGTTTTAAGGAACTCTAGTAAATTTTTTTCTAGTATTAAGTGCAATTTCTGTTCTACTTCTTGCTCTAAAAAGGAAAAACCAACTCAAAACAAACAAATCAAAATGGAACTACAAAACAGAATATTCAAAACGAAAATGAAAAAGAGAAAACGAAAACGAAAACCTAAAGATATGCATATTACGAGTAAATATTCAAGGCGTTGCATCTACACACACAAACACCACACACACACAGAGACAAACACATTGTATAGGCATAGAACAAGAAATAGTTAAATTACTTGCATAAACATAACCGTGTGGAATGGAACTCAATCCAAGAACAGTTTAAACAATTCGTACTTGTGTTTTACGCTAAGAGTTAAGTATTAATCGAATTCATGCAAACAGCGGCAATAGTTAAACACACCAGCTAAATATTCTAGTTAGTTAAGCACCCAACCACAGTCCACATACACCCAAGAGACCCCCCGACACACTGAAACAACTATAGAACAATTGCCCCGAACCAAATCCGAACCTAAAACCCTAACCCAAAACAAAGCTACCCCACGCGCTAATAAATAGCATATAGACACATAAAGCAAACTTAAACTTAAACTGTAGAGAATTTTAAACAAACCAAGCAACAAACAAACCAACAAATAAACCGACAGACAGACAGACCTACAGATAGATGATACAAAAAGGAGGAAGGTCTTCTAGTAAGCAGTAACAAACCGTCAAAATTTCTATTGGAGCCAGAAGGAAAACGTTTTTCAAAGCATGTTCAAATTTTTACTACGTTGTTAAGTTGATATTTTCGAAAAACAAAACAAAACAAACACACAAAAAACAAACGAAAAATGAGGAAAATTTGTCTATTAATTAATTTGTAAAGAACTTATGACTAAAATCTAAGATTAAAGGAAAACAACAAAAACAAAAACTTTTTGCGTTGTGCGAGCAACTATTGTGAATTGTTCAAATTACGGTATAAACACATACAATTACAATGACGTCACAAAAAGACCCCAGCGAGAAGGGAGACGAAATGATGAAATGAAAGAGGAGAGAATAACTTAATGAGAGAAAGCCAGAGATTGAGATTGAGAGGAGCATAGCCGGAACCCGGTAGCCGATGCCGATGCCGATGCCGATGCGGATCGGAAACTTATATGTAGACGATGAAAAAAAGAAAGAAAATACACAAGGAATTCTTAACCAAATTGGAAGTACAAACTAAAGTCTAGAATATGTATATATAGAACCCATACACACATACACATACACACACACACACAAACACGCGCATATAAAGAAGCAAAAAACGAAAAACAAAGCCCCTATATATCTATATATGCATATACATATACGAGTACATATATTTTTCGAATTAAGCGCCGGTATAGAGTCGCCGATTCGGCAGAGCATAGAAGCCAAGAAGCCAAGAAGCCAAGTGCAATGGGACAAACAAATTCGATGTCGATGGGACACCAGGTCGAGATTTTGTCGAGAAGATGAGGCAAATTTGAGCTTAAGCAGCCAGCAGCCAAGCAGCTTTAAACATTTTTTTGTAAGGCAAAAACAGTAAAGTGAAACAAAGAATAGAAAAGAGGGAAAAAAGCAAAGCAAAGCTGAAAGCGATAAACGGAAACGGGGAGCGACAAATTTCATTGAAATTGTTTGCCGTGATTTGAATGAAATTCATAATGGTGGCCATTTTTGTGTAATGCGAAAAAGTTTAACAACATTTTTTACACTTGTATTTCGTTTTTATTAACTTTAAGTTTAAACAAACCCAAACACACACGAACACACACAAACACATACAAATTATAAATAAAAGCAAAATATCGATTAAATTGTAAAAGGCAAAACTGATGAAAACGCAGGAAATACAAAAACATTTTAATTGCATAAATAATTTTTGTCTGTGTCGCCCCTTCCCCGATATGAGGGCGAAACCTATTCTTTATTACGATTATGATTACGATTACACGAGTATGATTATTGTTATCATTATTACCATTGTTTTTCTTCTGCTAATTTTCGAGCACCACACTCACACAAACACGTACACAATCCCACACATACGTATGTAGATAAGTAGGTGCACTCGATCTATTTCGTTGCGTTCTGGAAATTATTTACACTTAAGTGATATTTTTAGAGAAAACAAAAGGAAGATGAGAACTATCCATTATTGT